GGCTCCGGGAAGCGGGGAGGGGCTGTTCGTCTGAGGGGGCAGTGACGGGACAAGGGGTGGTGGGTTTAAGCTGAAAAAAGGGGAGAATTAGGCCAATAAATTCTTCACCATGAGACACTGGTTAAGATTTTCAGCGTTTTTGCCCCCAGGTGTGACTCTGCACTTCTCATCCTTCGCCGTGTGCAGCCAGAGATGCTCCAGGCTCATCTCTGGAGGTGAATTCGACGTGCCCTGACATGATTTTAGTCCCAATCCTGCCCCTCGGTGCGCGCAGGGGTAGGAATGACACGTTGTGCTTTGGGCGAGATCCTAAGGGTGGTGCCAAGCACTGGAGCTGGGCTGGGGAAATCAACCTGGGATTGCAAAAGCCAACCCTGCCTGGGATGTGCTGCCTGTGGGGAGCCAGCCGGTAGTTCCCTTGTTCTTGGCAGCTGCCACACGCCCTGTGCCGCTGAATGGGAGGTTTGGATGCCATGAAATGCAACACTGTGACACTCAAACTTTTTTTATGGAATCCTGCCAGTACCTCGTTCAGCCACAAGTTACAAAATTCCACCTTCCTCACGCCCTGCCATGGGGTGCTGAGCTTCGCTCATCTGGGCAGCCAAGAAGGCAAGGAAACGGGCTCAGAACGCCTGACTTTGAGATTCAACTGCCTCCCTTACACCAGCAATCAATGATACACTGTGAAAATATATCTACATGTGCTTAAGGACATTTATTGCCAACGCAGTAGGATGCTGCACAGAGCTCACGAGGGTGGGGGGTGGTGTGGCCACCCTTTCCTGGCAGAGCTCACAAAAGCATGGGGAGGGGCTGCAGTATGAGCAGAACATGTGGAGGAGGCTCTGCAGGGCCTCAGGGGAGCAGGTACAGTGTGTAGGAGGGTATTTTACCATGCTAATCACTCATTAATATATTAATGATATATTAATACTGTGACTTCAATCAGTGTTTTTCTACCCCGTTTTCCCATCCCTTTCAAGACAGGTCCTGTCTCTAGCCCGGGCTGTTGCTACTTGGGATGTTTTTGTCTGATTGGAATCCGTTTTTGTCCAATTCTTACTGTTTCACTGTTGCATAAGCCCTGTTCTTATTCTGCATGCCCCTTACGTTCTCTTTTATGTGATTTTCCCCCAGACTTTACTTACTTCAATTAACAACTGACGTGAATACAACTGCAGACAAACACAGCACTGGACTATTACCCAGCACAGTGACTGGTGCTTACTTGACAAGCCCAAATGCATCAATATTCCACCAGAAAGTCAGGCTGTGCTCTAGTCTTTACATCTGCCGAAAATGAATCCTACAAGCTAGTCATGAGAGCGTGCAGCAGCAGCAGCAGCAGCAGCACCGGGGTGTGTGTGTTCC